TAATGCTCCGGCAACCACAGGGCGTCTGCCAGAGGTATAAATAAGGAAGCCAACAAATCACTGGAATACGCCTCAGGTGTGCGCACCGACCCACGAGTCACCAATTACCCGATGCGACACAGCTGAGGCGTTGATCCCGCAAAAAGGGAGAGCAGGAGAGGAAAAAAAGAAAGAGAGGCAGGGCGCGCCGAGCGGACCTGACAGTCTGTAAGTATTTGGACAAGGACACAACTTTTTGTATTTTGCCTCTGTATAGCACTGCAATGGATTTTAAATGAAGCAGTCAGGATGTTTTAGAAGTGTAGACTTTCACCTTTAATTCAAGGAGTTTCACAAAAGTATTAATTTTTAGGAATTAGTTTTTTTATACATAGTGCCCTATTTTCAGAGGCTTTAAAGTGTCTTGACAAATTTATCAGATAAAAGGTCTGGGGATCTATTTTCCTGCCAATGCAATTTCTACATTGCCTCATTTGCAGTTGTTATGCAATTTTCCTTGGGCGTCTACTTTTTGCTGCCCAGTGGGGTGTTTGGTATTTTCATGCTGTGAATGAATTTGCTTAGACTGAGGTGGGAGGAGAGCTGTGTATGCTAATTAGGCAGCACAGTGCCATTTTGTGCTTGTTTTGACCTGAAATAGCAATAATGATAAGCAGGCGTTCAGACTGATCTGGTAAAAACACAACGCCCTGCTGTGTTTAACATGAGAGTGTGCACTGGTTAGTGGGTGAGGGGTTGCAGGGAGAATGTTGCAGACATGTACAATACAGCCACATTGTGACAAGTCAACAAGAGTCTCTTCATTCATGTTTACAGCCCATGACCTTCTGTTGTGTTTTGGTTAGCCATGCTACTAACGTAGCCTACTCTACCTTAGCACCAATTCTACCACCAGTGTGTCAGCATCGATAGATAAAAATACTTTAAAATCCAGAACTAACAAATATGCCTGACGTGTCATTTTGGTGTGTTAACCCTATAAAACCATTTATATCATATTTGATACATGAGGTTTCTGAGTAAAAAAAAAATCGCCAAAAATGCCCCATGTATCAAATGTGATAAAAAAAAAAAAACAATAGAAATAATCTAAATAATATGGCACCTCTATTCCTATATGCATGGACTGTCTGTCTATGCCTTTATAGCAAATAAAAATCTTGAATCTTGAATTTTGAAATGAATTATATTTTGGATTTTGTTAAAAGGTTTAATAATCATCTCAGTTCCAAAAAATTAGAATGTTCTGGCTATTTTTTGATGTGTCAGGCTTTACAGGGTTAACTTTGGCTCAAATTCAACAGTGAATAGCAGTGAATGCTCAGGCTAACAAGGTAAACAAAAGAGCCTTCTTCCTGTGGGCTTACACATCTCAATCACCCGCCCATACATTATTGGTCAACTCAGTGCCTTTGCTGGGTGATGTCACCAGCTGGTGCGGTGAAAGCTGAACCATATCCAACTCTTTACCTATACAGGGCTGCATTGTTTTGCCCGAGACCCCTGCTGTACTGGTTCTGACTGTGGTGAATGCAATCCTCCTACAGAAACAAATGGAGAGCGCTGTGTTTTTTTTTTTTTAAGTCAGTCTGAACAAGGCATAACACCTGCTCAGACCACATCTTATTGCTGTTGCAGGTGTATTTGTAGTTTTCCTTACAAGCGCATAGGCTGGGAAGCACATGATCAGGTACCCAAATTTATTTTAATGGCCACAACAACATAAAGTATACCCTTAATTATACAACTAATCTGCTGGAATTCATTCTGAATAAATTATTGTGTATCATGAAGATTATTTTTAAATAAGATTTTAAATAAACTAGTCCTCAGTATCCTCTAGAGTCCCTGCGTCCTCATATGAGGACCGCACAGCTTGGGTTTCCAAAGCTCAGGACTCTAGAGGTTATGTGGCTATAAATAAAAATATGGTCAAACAGTGTTGGTGCACATCAGAACACACCAACATGCAGACAGAGGTGACCTGCAGTCGGTGTTTGGGAATCTAAATCCATTCCAAAAAATTACACATAACACATGAAAGCAGCTCATGAGCCAAGATACATAACAAACACCCTGCAGACATCTTCATTAATCTTGTTACAGCAGGTAAAGTCATTCCGACCTCACTGTAGCTGCTGCCACTGTTAAGTTTATTTCTTCAAATGAACAAGTTTCACACAAACACACCTTTGTTACAACCACAAAGATATACACCAATCAGCCATAACATTATGACCACCTGCCTAATACTGTTTACATAGGAGTCAGTGTGGCAATTGGTTGGCACTTGTGTCACTGCAGCTCACTGTGCATCTTCTGTGAATCCATTTGCTTCCATAGGAATTTTGACCAAGGTGGTGGCTCGTGTACAACGCAAGGCTCAGCATCTCCCCAGATTTCACAATTTTGCAGTAATTCTCCTGCTCATTTTGTGTTCATGCAGAACAGCTTCACCTCAATATCCTACACCTGACAAGAACTTTTGGATATCGGTCTACACCATTCCAACAGCTTTATCTCCAGTCTTCAACTCACCCCTGAAATCTCCAAAACACCGGAGACTACGGTGGCCGACACGGTCACAACACATGCAAAAGACACAACACATGCAAGACACAAACGCGGTATTGAACAAAACACATGCAAACGGAAAACGCTGCATTAACCAAAAAAACACATGCAAGACAGAAACGCGGCATTAAACAAAACACATGCAAATGGAAAACGCTGCATAAACCAAAAAACACATGCAAAAGGAAAACGCTGCATTAACTGAAAACACATGCAAAAGGAAAACGCTGCATTAACCGGAAAACACATGCAAAAGGAAAACGCTGCATTAACTGAAAACACATGCAAAAGAGAAAACGGAAATAGGGGGAGCCCGATCGCAATGATGGGTTCATCCCAACATTAAGGAAGTAGAAGAAGAATAAGTAGTGAATACTACCGCGAAAATTAAGAAGAATACTACGGCAAAAGAACTAGCTAAGCTAATTTAAGTTATTATAAGAAGAAAAAAAACAAGAAGAAGACCACAGGGCATTTTCAAGGTTACAGAAACAGTACGTTTTCCATTAAGTTCCTTTTTAAATAATTGCCCGTCATCTCTTACGGTACTATAAAAAAGAAGCAACAAATGTACCTAGCTAAGGATAGTGTGCCACAGACTGTGTTTAACTCTTATTAGCTCACGTTAAACCTAGTAACTCGGGATAATAGCGTTAGCTAACTAGTGTTTCTGTATGGTAAGCAGCGTAGATAAAATGGATAAAAAGGTGCAGTGAAATAACTTTTATTGTCAATATATATAAAGTATATAACAGATTTTGTGCAAATCAGGTGTGCAAATACTCATGAAAATTAAATTCCACGTTGACTTTTGTTCTCTCCTCTACAGTGTCCTCATATTGGACACTCTTTTGATCAGCGAGGGGCAAGAGCACGATAAGAGAGGTGAAAAGGATAGCAGACACGGTATGTAAAAAGAAATGTAACACGGAGATGTCCATAAATAA